AAAAAAAATAATCCGGGAACGGCGGAGGGGTCGGGAAAAAAAAAAAAAAAAATCCCGGGAGTGCGCGCGGGAATGGAGAGGAACGGATCCCGGGAATTCGGAGAGTCCCGGGATTGGGGAAATTCGGGATCGGCCCCGGGAGAGGAAATTTGGGGAGCGAGGGGAGAGGAGAGAGCGCCGGGAATGGGAAAATTCGGGAATGCGGAGAGGCCTCCCCGGGACGGGGAATGCGGGAATTCCACCAGGATAGGAAAATTCGGGAATGCGGGAATTCCCACCGGGATAGGAAATTCGGGAATGCGGGAATTCCCACCGGGATAGGAAAATTCGGGAATGCGGGACCGGCCCCGGGATTCCGGAGTTCCGGGAAGGCGGGAGAGAGGAGCGGGAAATTCGGGATCGGAGCCCCCGGCACGGGGAGGGGATCGGGGAAAATTCGGGAAATTCGGGAAATTGGGGAGAGAGAGGAGCGGGAATTCGGGAATTTCCCGGGATGGGAACTCGGGAAGGTCCCAAATCCCGGCGTCGGGAACAGGAAACCAGCGAGCTGGGAGAGACGACTTTTGCTTTTTTTCATTCTTTTTTTTTTTTTTTTTTTCCCCCCCCCCCAATGGGATTTTTTGGGATCTACCCCAGACCCAATTCCCGCCCCAAAAGGAGCAAAAATCCCAAATTATCCCGAATTTCCACCTTTTTTTGTTTTTGTTTTTAAACTCATTCCGTTTTTAAACCTTTTCCCCCTCAAACCCTGCCCCAGAAATTCCAAATTTCCCCCACCCTTTTTTTGTTTGTTTGTTTTCTTTTTTTAACCAATTCTGGAGATTTTTGGAGACCCTCCCCAAATCCCCCCCCCCGAAAATTCCCAAAACTGGGAGGGGTGAAATTCCATAATTCCTTTGAAATAAAAAACCCAACAACAAAAAAGAATTCCCGAGATTTTGGGGTGAAAAAAAGAAGCAGGAAACGCAAAATTCCTTTAAAAAAACAAAAAAGGAATTTTCCAGTGGCTTCGCTCTGATCCCGTTTTCCCCTTTCCCAAATCCTTCAACCAAAG